AGTCCATGTATGTTTTACAGGTACGTTAGGCTCTGAAGGAAGACGTTCCAAACGATAATATAAGCGGAGTGTATAGTACTAAGTCAAGGCCTCCCTCAAGCATCTAGAGAGAAGTTGGCAAATCAAGCGCGAACTGTGGGAATATAAATATCACAGACAACTACTGGGATGAGCATGGCTATTCCACCGTCCATAGCCTCCGACGAACAGTCAATGTAAACCCCGTCAATACTACGGGTAAGCTAGTCTGACATTCAGCGTTTCTGAGAATTTCAGTGCCTTGGATTTGGTGAAAATTCCTCTCAATCCCTCATTTGTAATGCACATTTTCGTTTGGTACAGCTGTAGTCATGCGTGATTTACCCGGTCCCGATGATTTCACAGACTGTAGTTCTCCACACGTGATGATCTGCGGCAGCCGACCTGAATAGTAGGCAAACCTTTATTTCTAGCCAAGAAGACTAAATACCGAGGATTTAAGAACCACCTACAGATCTTGAGTGACTAATTCGACCTCCCCTTTGACGCCTTTAGTTGGCCCTCCAGGATGGATCAATGGCAGAAACGTTATACTATTAGATTGGACGACACAAAACATGCCAGAGCCACCTCAATAGTCTTTTTTGGTGTTCTGGTCTATCACACCTATGTTTTAGCGAGAATTTACTATCCTAATGAAACCATCAGTACATTTGGGGAAAATGGCGAAAGCCTTTAAAAACTCCATTGAAGCGATACAGGTCTGCATGAAAAGTAATCCACTAACAATTATTTTACAGGTGCTTTTGGTAGGTCATGCGCATAAAGCAGATGATGAAACAAATGGGGCACCTGTGAAATCAAAGTACAGCATCTGCACACAGTGCGTCCAGCAGTGTCAAAGTTAATGTAGTAAAATGATTTGTTGAGATCAAGTTAGTAGTCTGTTTATTGTTATACCTATCTCGCTAAATGAGGATTAATGGAGGTACGGCTGACCCTTAACAAGTGAGTATCCAGACACCTCTTGAACACACTCATGCTGGATGACGGCACGACGTATATCAACAAAAAATCAATTTGACAAGCGACTTTGTGGGAAATGTGAACTCAGAATGGTGTAACAGAGTCCCTTTTTTATCTTGGCTATCGAGTCGTCTGGGACTCGCCTTTGGTAACCCTTTGAAAATGTTTTTCCAGCTAATCTCAAGGCCAAGCTCCCTTAACGACTGAAAATTTATTCTAAGGTCGCCTCTGTCCTGTCTATGGTGGATGTTCAAGATAGTCAGGTGTCATTCGTACGTCGAACGTTTGAATTCAGGAACAACCTTTATAGTACGTCGTTGCACACCTTCCAGGAAGCTTACGACGTTAATAACTCGCAGCTGCCAACCCTGGACCGGATTCTCCAGGTGCGGCTGCATAAATACTTTATATACCTTACCGAAGATATATGCATCCATTTTTACTAAAGTTCGTTAACATTGATCGTGCTAAGACTTTAGAACACTGGATTATTACGCTTAACTCGACATTAACGAATACTCCAAGGCCATCTCGCATACTTACATATTTAAATGATTGATATCCCAAGAGGTGGGCAATTGCAACTGCCGCGCCAATAAACTTTATCCCAGACGAACTTCCGCTGTATGTAATACCGAATTTGATCTCTCGTAATTTACCAAAGGTAGTATTAGTACGTCATCTAGTTAGACTGTGAACAAGCAGCCCGAATTTCCGAAATGTTGGCGGCAGGACCTCTGAATATAAGAGATAAATCGCAGGCAAGGCTTGTGTGCAATACCACTGAAGGTGATAGAGATTAAAATACCGCTGGAACGCGGGAACCCAGATAGAAAAGAGCACTAAATTCCTACAAGTCATCAAACGCCGCCTGGTAGATATAACCTGTCCTTCGTCGTCAACCTCACGAGCTCAGTGTTACTGCCCTCGACCCGAAACCGTTATCTAATTGGAAACGCATAAGAGGTCGGTTCAAAACCTGGATCGGCTCAGTCCGTCAGGACATGGAAGTGTTTCTCGGACATTCAGTCTCCGGCGCTGGCGAAGAGAACGGACCGAGCTGTCCACGTCCGCTATCACGGATCGTCACATGTGGAAAGTTACCGTCCGGGGCATCATCGAGGTCGCCTAGATCAGTCATGATCGCAACAGCAACAAGTACAAATATAATCCATTTTATGACCAATAATTGAACCCATAAGGCTCCTTTCTAACGAATCTCAAAATATAAGTCCCACTAGTGCGTCACTATAAAAATAAGTTGCCAATACAAGCGAACATGCGTGTCCCAAGAAGCAATTGAGAATC